GCAATGGAAACAAATTCTATAAACAATTATAAAAGAAGATATCCCTTAAATTGACAATTTTCATGAAAAACAAAGTCAAACGAATACCAAAGAACACTTTAATTTCAACATTTTCCAGATGAAAAATTATACCAATCAAACACTATTAATTGATAATTCACATTAAAACAATTTCTAGGCAATTTAGTTCCCTAGAATTCGTTTTCTTTCCACCCAAATTCCATCTTTACAATCAAACGGACCCTAAATTCACCCCCTTTAATGCAAAATTAGAGGAAAAGAACTCACCGCTATTTTCCAGAAGCTTTGATGAATTCAACCTGCGAGAAGGCACAGAACTCAGGAGACGCTGATAATCTGGAAGTAGAGACTGAATAAACAATTCCAAATGAAAATGAATTTATCAAATCAAATGATAGTTGAAGCAACCAATGAATTAACCGATTCAATACTGAGTAATGCATATTGGATACTCAGACGCCCAGGCACTAAATCATAGTCAATTTCAAGGGGCAGAAGAAAAGGAATTAGGAACAACACCTCCGGACTGTCAAAAAAAGAATGAACAAAGACGGGCTCACCTTCGGAATGCTAGCAGTATTGCGCAGCTCCTCAGTTTTTCTCAACTTCATACCCGAGAAGAGTTCATAAATAAGACAGCCTACCAATTACAAAGTAACAATAATAAATAAATACGGGTCATTATTAACAAAAAAAGGCGGTAAATCTTCTGAAATAAGATAAACCAAAAATAACCTTGATCGATCTATTTATCAACTCAAGAGCTCGAAAAGTCAGAGAGTTATTTGAAGCGAGTACACTAAGACTTAAATAACACCTACAGACAGAAGTGCTGAAGTATGATAAAAGGTTGACCTTTTGTCAATAGGAAAAAAGTCTTCACAGACTTCAATTGTTTTTAATTGAATTGCGAACAAGATTCTGTCCTAGATTCGTAAACTATAATGGATGGAAAATGTAGGCGGTCACAACTCATGTTAAATTTAATTCAACCACATTCAAAATTATTACTCATTATTATCACACATTTTTCGTGGTCCCCATCACTAATCCTCCTACAAAGTACCTAACACGTTTCCCGATCAGAGGCTTTATAACTGGACATTTTAGCTTTGCCTGTCCTATACCAAATAATTATAGTCTCTACATGTTTGTTAAAATTTTTTGCACAAATCATAAAATAGTTGAGGCAATTGAACACCTACCCAGACCCCAAGAATCAATAGCCCAGGGTGGAGATTTTCTGATAGCTGTCCAGTCAGATTTTGACAACTCCATTGGTTTGTATTGTGAACCAATAAGCCATTCATATTGCTGTGTCAAAAATGAAGTAAGAATTATAAATCGCATGCCAGCAACCTGACCAGCTAATAGAATGAAAATAATCACAATAAAACTTCTGCAAGATGCATCAAATATGTCAGCAACCTTTTTCCATAAAAAAGAACTCACACGAGAAAGCAATATGCCTCATATATATCTGTGTGCAAGGATTAAACACAGACAAGATTGTTTAATTAGAAACAGAAAATGCTTTCCCTAAGAACATTATGAGATTTGCATATGCATTCATTAGCAGATAATATGTTTTCATGCGTGATGCAGTCTTGCATGTTGCTTTTCACAATAACACCAAGAAAAATTTGTACATGGACAATTTTATCAGGAAAGATCTTTGGTAGTAAGAATATTCAGTAAAGGGGAGGATTTTAAATCATAATGATTATTGTACTCTGCAACATTTTTTAGTTTTTCCTCCCTCCGCATGGCTAGCCAAAATTGAGTTTGCACATCACAAACTATGCTGAAAAGAGCTGAGAAAAGATACACCAAAACTCATTATTTACCAGCATTGGCCCTGCTGAAGCTTCATTATTCCCATCAAACTCGGACAGAATATCAAAGGCATGTAACTTCCAGTCCAAAGTTTGAGTGACAACAACACTAGCCATACAAACATTACCATGAATCTGCAGTAGCAAAACAGAAAATCATTATCCTGTATTGCTAAAAGCAGGAAACCAGAGGAATAAAAGAAATTGCAGCAGAAAACTTCACAAATAACCATTCATATAATAAGAAGATCAAGAAAGTTTGAACATTTATGAGCTGACACAAAAAACCATATCTGGCATCATGGAGATCTTCATCAGTTTATAATTAGGTCACAGGTAGGAAAAGCTTTATAGCGATTAGCGATTGGGGGAGCTTCATGCCTCTGTTAGAAAAACTTTATCAGGCATGATTCATGCCTCAGCAACTAATATATCACTCTTTTTGAAAAAATGTTAAAAAATTTAAACCTCTTCTTTTAATTTATCTAGCTAAAAGAGGCAAAGAAATAGACAAATAATGCATGCATTCCAATAAAAGTAAGAACTTGTTTAAAGCTTAAAGTGCATGTAAAAAAATATTGAGTCCTTGTTTGAACCACATTATTTCCATAAGAATGCATTTTTGAATAGTGTATTGATAAGAAATGTGTGATTAAAAAATAAGGAAAAGTTTTTTATTTTAGTATAAAATTATTTTATTAAAGAATGTGTGGTTGAAATGATGTCAAATCACTGTTTAAAAATGTATTTTTTTTTATTTTTTTTTTTAAATGTGGGTCAGATAGGCCTGAAGATGAAACAATAGAATGTCAACTTGCCTCCAACTGTTGTAAATTATGGATAACAGTTAAATTTGACTTGATTACATACCAATTTACAATCATTATTTAGGAAGCTCACAGCTTTAGCTATCCGATGCAGTCCCCATGCATGATACTCATCCCTGCCATAAGAGGAAAGTAAAATATTAGAATTTGAGTTTATTGCCTAGTATACAAGAGGACCAGACCCAAGGAAACAACAAAAATACCTCAAAGAGATTGGCAAAATGCAAATGCTAAAAATTAAAAAAAAAAATCATGTAATTGAATATACATACTGTAACTCCAATATACGAAAGCAAAATACACACTTGATTTTGCAGATAAAACTGTAATAAACAAATATCTAACGAATACAGATTGCAAAGTTTTCATTAAAAGGGGATAAAAAGAAAAAGCTATGAGATTGAAAGTATAAAAGTAGAGAACAAGATGTCCTCTATAGCATAACAAAAAGAATAATACTATTACCTGTCAAGTGTGACTTGTAAGTGTAATTTCATATGAACACTTTTACTTTTTTTTCATCAGGGTCATTACATGTCAAAATAACAAGAAGCGCAAGGGAATAACAATATTTACACCTTTGGCTGCCTTCTAATCCCAATTCCTTGATCTTTTCAGACAGGGGCATAACAGGCTCTGTAACAATGTAGATTGTAACCTTTGTATTTGTACCATCAAAAATTTCTGCCTCGGTACTGTAAAGAAACGACAAGATAATTGGATGCCTAACCTGAAAGAGGATGAATCATTCAGATCTAGGACAACAAAGAATAATGTGTAAACCAAGACTATACATTCATTCACCATGCATCGAGAAGTGCACAAAAAAATAAAATATTACACTTTTGATACATTACAAATCAAGGACTCATAGTGGGGGCCAGATTTCTTCCCATTGCATTGCATAGATGCAGAAACGCACGAAGTACTCCTTCAAGCCTTATTTGTTATATAAATTCATATGTAGTACATATTGCAAAAGACTGGGTGCATTAGCTTTGTCCTTTCTTTTAGTAAGGTAATTCAAGATTTTGGGTTTATCCAACATCTCATAATCATAACTTTTCACCTAAATGGATATCACAAGTCAGCTGCTAACCAAGGAAGCAATATTGATTTTCTTTGCTCTTAGCAGCTTGCCGTCAACATTAAGCAGAAACATTTTTTTTTTTTTTTTATCTCCACATAGGCTCCTAAGCTACATCCAATCAATTATCCCTTGTGATATCAAATTGCATTTCATCTCTAGAGCTATTAACTACTTCGTTTCTATATTTGATGCCGAGCCCATAAAATTGTTACTGAAGCACGAGCAAATTCAGATGCAACATCATTATAGCTAGAAAAACTAAAAAGATTGGTAACATAGTCAGGAAGGAATACTTTTGAGGTAGTAATTTTTATTCCCATGAAAAAAAAAAAAAGATAAAAATTAAAAAATTATGCAAATGATAAGTCTCCAAAACAAAAGTAGCTAGAAAAATAGTAGTTTTTCAAATTAAAGTATGAAAGTATAATTATGCAGTTGACAAAAAGTTCTCAAGGACACAGAAAGGTATGGTCAGTAAGGATGAACATTTGTACAAAGTATTATTATTAGTTCAATGGACTCACGCAACAATGACACCACACAATATTATCTCGACCAATCTTGTGGAGATTATGATTATTAGAGGGAACTACTGCAGACCAAATAAAAGAAGATACAGGAAATGGCAAAAAAAATTTGTTTGAAGCTTACCGTTCGAAGGCGCTTGACACCATTGCGACCCGCAGCTAAATGGCCATCATTTGCATTGCTTCCCGAAAGAGAAAATATTGATACAGGAGTCCCATCGTCCTGTTAAATAAAAGGGAAAAGAGAGAGAATAATGATTAGAGGCCTTATATTTCACAATGGTCACTACAATTATACAAAAAGTAAACAATGCCTAGACTTTAAACTAATGTCAGAATGTGGCTATATATTCCAGCACAACCTCTATGAGCAGCTCATATTTTCTACTCCCACTGCATGGAGACGTAAAGGTACAGCTAACTCAATTTAAAAGCATAAAGGATAAGAGCTTCATGATTATGAAAGGTGGTTATAACCTCTTATACTTGAATTTTGCAAGTGGAAAATCAGTTCTTAATCAATTAGTAAGGCCGCGAAAGCTATCTTTAGAAGAGTAAATCAATTAAAGAAGTCCATACTAAACAAAACTTTGAAAAACTTGACATTGAGAATTTGCAATGACGTGGAAGGATGAAAATATAGAAATTCCTGTTACTACGGGGCTGTGTGCATACACACTTGTACATCTACTCATCAGCAGTTAATGAAAAAATAACTATAAAATCACATACTTAAGACAAAAATGATATGTATAACTCATCAATAGTTTTTTTCTGGAATAAAGATTTGGCAGATGCAAAATATGGCAAAATATGGTTCTGATGCAATTCTAATACATTTTTTGCTAGACGTTGACAACATCGAGAGGAAATTCTATTGTATGAACACTTCAACTAATATAGCGTTCCATGTCCAATACGTGTCGCACTCATGTCAACCATCGAACTTTTCAGACACTCTACCATGATCATTTTTATTTTTTTATTAGAAATATTATTTATTTTTAACTCAAAGTTATTACTAATAATAAGTATGCACTTATATTTAAAAGATTTCATCAAAAAAATTAATAACAAGTACAAAACTAAATTTATACGATATAAATGAAAAATTTTAAAGAATTTAATCAACATGTCATTTCAATACTTTTTTCAAAAATCGCATGTAGACGTACAAATGTCCGTCTCGATACATCATAAGAAGAAATAATGAAGTGAACAACAAAGATATTGAAGATTTTTGGGTTGCCTTCCAACTTACACCTTAAGTGCTGTTGGTGACGACTTATGCCTCAATTTGTTGAAGCTTACACCCAAGCTAAGCTTTAGAGCTGCAGTGGAACGAGCTTGTTTGTCTTGCCTTTTTTGAGCCTTTTATTATTGCTCAACTTTATGGACTAATTTGTTATAATCAATAACCTTTATTTTTTTTTTTTCTTACTTCTACACAGAAGGGGAAGGGAAGTCACACTGCCAGAGAATGATTACAAAGAGTGAGGAGATATTCACAGTAACAAGGAGGGTGATAGGGCCATATGGAATTCATATATGTTGATAATTCTCAAGAGGAACTATTAGCAGTAATAATATGGGAGACTTCTAGGTAATTTCTACATCTAGTAGTATATTTGAGAACTTATGTATTAATTTATTTTATGTTTGTTGGTCTTTTAATTTTATTAATTTGTTTTACTTAGATGGTCAATTTATTTATGGTTTGTTAATTTATTAATTTATTTATATTTGTTGGTTTTTTATTCATATTAATTTGTTTTACTTAGATGGTCAATTTATTTATGGTTTGTTAACGAGAATTTTTATTTTCACATTCTTTTGAACTCTTTTATTAGTTTTTCTTGAGATTTGTGCTTCACTCATAGGCATAAAATGCCTTGGTACCTAATTGAACATTTAAACATTGTCATTTCCATCGCTACTTTTGGCATATATTCTCATTTATTATCTTATTATTAACTCTAATATGGGCACACGATGCATCCATCTTAACATCCTCATTTCACTCTGTTCATTCTATAAAAATAACTATAAAAAGAGAAAAGGAGAAAAGAACTAAGAGGTGTTAACAAGTTTTTGAGATATTTTGAGTCCGAGAGTACTTTCCAATGCGGGAAATTTTCATCCATTCTCCAAACAAAATCTCAAGAGCTAAAAACTTCACTATCACCAAAATTTGTGTACACACAGCAACTCCTATGTACTCCCATTGAAATAGTTACCATTAATTACAAAATATGTCTACAACATGACATCAGTAAAACTAAACTCAACTGCCAGCAACCCAAAGTGACTTCCACACATACTTAAAAGTGTTTTACAGGTAGAAAAATAAATTTAGGCTGTAAAATTTCCTATAATGGTAGTTAATGGGCCAGAGCAACACGAGACAAATCTCTTCCTCTTCCATTATTCTCGAGTTGACTTATAATTGTAAAACTACTCACTATCCAAACCTCACCCTAATATTGTTCTACTTTTCTTTAGATAACTAGGATAAGGAATTTTTTTTTAACCTTTTCCCGAATACCAGAATACCTCTATGTTTCCTATATAAACAAATTGTTAACCTCCAGTTATCGCTAGTCCCAGTAAAACCATAGACAACATTTGTCAATTCATCACTTCATACTGCATTATTGTATAAAATCAAATTTTGTTCGCAACAAAAATGAAGTAGATAACAGCATTATCAATTCACTTTTCTGTAACAGCATTGATCCCGGAAAATTGGAACTTAAAAAAGAAAATTCAAGAGAATTCCGAAATGAAATCAACAAATTCAATCAAAACCCAGAAAAACAACAGTAAAACATAGACACATGTGTACGCATATCTGTATAAGATAGATATAGGAAGATGAGATACTGGAAAATAAGGAAACCTTGGAGGTGCCACGGCAGTGAACCCAGGAGCCCCAAGCAGAAGAGTAAGGCTCGCCGATGTCATAAGGCAGATCTTTGAGGCCCGCTCCCGTTCCGCCCACTACACCTTTCAGGAATTTCAGCATCTTTCCCGGCCCGGCCCGATCTAATCCCTTCGAGGGACTCCGGTACTACAATGGAGTGGTATATAATTAAAGATAGCCAGAGAGAGACGAGGTGCGTGGATCTAAAGGGGAAGTGTGCGCAACAGTGGATTATTAATCGAAGTAATTGCAAAAAATAATGAAAAATGCTGAGAGTGTGTTAGAATTTATTTACGAATAATGAGTTATTGAATATTATTTTTTGAAAAATGTGTGATTAGAAAGTAAAAAAAATTATTGATTTTTGTATAGAATATTTTATTGCGTGAATATGTGATGAAGAATGTCGCTATAGCAAATCATTTAGAATTTTAAAGAGCGACAAACAGAGGCTTAGTATGCTTGATTCTGTGCATGACGATGTACGGTAAGCTTTTTGATCGTCAATGTGACGTGGTTTTGAAGAAGGGAAAATTACAGTGGCAGTCTCTTTCCATTGTGAAATGCGTAAACAGGTTATTAACCTTTAAATTTGATATTGACATCCTCGACCTTTTACATATGTAGCAATGCAAGCCTTTAAAAGCAAACTCTGATGTCCAATTTATAGAGGAATAGAGTTGGTAAGAACATTTCCAATCGCAATGTAAAATAGATCCAAGAGTCCGTTTGATTGCCACCGTGAAAAAGACAAATTAATTCCATGTAAGTTTGAAAAGAAAATGACACCAAAACTATAGAAAAACATATTCCATTCAAGGAAAAAAATGTATGTACAGAGGGGGGACTACCGAACCGTGTCCCCCCTCTCACATAACACGTGGGCCCCGCGTGTATTAAATAATGCTGAGTCGTGGCCCCCACCTCTTATTGTGAGTAGTAGGTAAAAGATTATGTAACAAAATTCGATACGTGTAGCATGGTCCTCCATTCAATTGGCCAAAAACATGCTTTAAGGCCATGTTTGATATGCTATGATTTCCATGAAATATAGAAAATGAATTCCATTTTCCCACTTTTACCATGTTTGATGGCAATTTTTCCATGGAATTTGTTTTCCATTTCCTCTCTTCACGCGTCCATCTTCCTTGTTTTTGGGGAATTCCAATTCTTAAGGGTATGGTGAGAATTAAATTTTTAGACAACTTTATTTTTTCATTTTTCTTTTTGGCAATAGAAACAAATTCTAACCTTAATTTAAAAAAAAAAATATTTTCCTTAAATTGACAATTTTCATGAAAAATAAAGCCAGACGAACATGAAAATGCACTTTTATTTCAACATTTTTCAGGTGAAAAATTATAACAATCAAATACAATAATTGACAATTCTCAGTAAAACAATTCTTATGCAATTCAATTCCCTGGAACTCGTTTTCTTTCCACCCAAATTTCATTTTTGCAATCAAACAGACCTTAGGTGTTTAAAACTTGAAATTCGAACTATACTCCCACTTTCATATCAAACAATTAAAGTAGAAAACGAATTCATTGAATGTGACATTTTCCATGAAATTTTCGCCAATCAAACTGACCCTAATTGTAATTTAAATCTCCAAATTAGTTAGAAACCTCTTTCAATAGAGAGATGCAAAAAAATGTAAATTGTATTTTTGAGCAGAAAAATATAAAAAAGATGTAAATTTACATCCACAAAATATAAAAAGTGAATTTAAATTTCCTATTGGAGCAAAATTTGAAAAAGAAATTTTCTCATAAAAAAGAAGGAAAATGCTTTGTCTTCTCAACGCTCCTATCCTACGCCATTGAGCTTGCACGTGCGATGGATGTTAGTGATATATTTGATTTTTTAAAATCATTTCTGAGTAAATGTGAAATTTAGGTCGTATATTTTATTTGTTGAAACTTTAAACTCATTGATAGAAATGACAATTTAGGGTTGGACAAAATAATTTGTCAAGCCGTCAAATTGAACCAAAGATATTGGTTTGGATCAACATGGGCTAGTCAAGTTTTGAGTTTGAACTAGACCAAACCACTTCGAATTAGTTGATTAAAATTTTAAATTTTAAAAATAGATGAATTATTCTTGGTGTACATCACCTAGTACATAAGGGTGTCTATTATGGACTCTCGATATCCCTTTGTGCTTCGTAGGCTCACCCTATTAGAGGGGCATCGGGTATTCCTTATGTACCCCATGTGTACACCAAGAATAACTCAAAATAGATTGAAACAACCAAATTGTTCATCCAATTTTAAAAAAATGCTGAAAGATGGATCCGAGACACGTCCCAATCAAACCCAAAACCCCGAGTTTAAGATAAAAAAAACTCCATCAAAATTCCCTAATCCAAAACCCAGATGCCCAATTGCTGAACATAACCCTCCCTCCTATAACTCATTTTTCGATTTTTTTCTCTTTATGATAAGATAGGCCTCATGTGTTCAATCTAGCTTTAAGTTTTCAATTTCTTCTTCTCTTTGTTATTTATTTTTCTTGATTTTTTTATTATCAATCCCTGGTATGTTGTACTTTTGTTGTTCAATTGAATTTTATGCTTAGTTATTTTCTAAAATTAAAGAGAGAGATTATAGTTAAACAACCAAATGATGATCTAAAGTTAGGGAACACATTTCCTAGAAATTGTCTTTTTTCTTATATATATCTTTTGGGTCGGTTCATATCGTTTCGATGATCTACAATCCATTTCCCAACATTTTTAACAATTGAACCTCACACACCTACTCTTGATACCCTGTACCTCAAAATTAGTTGTTGTATTCAAATTTAGGATTTCTATCGCATGGATATGATAGTTCAGGGACTTAATTGATTATTGGTTAATATTTTAAAAATTAAAGTGCAAATATTTGAATCCCAAAGTGATAAAACCTCTCAAAGTTTGTGATAAAGTCAAATAAACAAATTCTTTTAGATATAATTATTATCAAGTATTTAACTTTATCACAAATTCTAGTGAATATTATCAATTTCTTTTAAGTATTCAAATTTATTTGAATAAGTTATAGGACTTATTCAATGCATCATCAAAGTACCATAAATAGGTACATGTTTTCAAGAAATTAACATCGCCTCTTTCTCCCGCCTTCCCTCTCTCTCTATCTCAACCAGTCTTTCACACATAAACATATTTTACTTTACAAAAATCTTTAGCACACGTTCAAGAAACTTTAGTGGAAATCTAACATGTTAATTTATTCGATTGCCTTTACTTTTTTCCCACATGACAACAAGTATATACTTGTTATGCATCACTTTTGAAAATATATATTTATGGGTCCATATGTATGTTCCAAGATTCGGACCAAAATTTTAACAACGCTACGCACATAAAACTCATACCATCAATGTGTTCATGTCTCCTTTATGCAGTTTTACGATTTCAAAAGTTATGAGTAATAATTCATGAACACGTATATACTTATTGAGAATTTTCTCACCCTTAATTTTTCTCCTTGCCAGGTAATTAGGAATCGGGGAGTTTGGAGTTTGGACTAGACCATGAAGGAAAAAAATTCGAGAGTTTTATATAAGCATTCCTTTCAAGTTAAAATCTTTAATTATGAATAAGTTATTTTTTAAAACAATTTATTATTGTGCTAGTTTTCCTAATTTTAATTCATGGACTACGTTTTAATTAAATATTTTGTTGAGCTTTATTTTGGTTATTTATGCTATATTTGATACGTTATTATGGCTCTTGATTTTAGAACTCGGGGGGTTCCAAAGTGATATTAGAGTGGGTCTACATTCTTGTAGACTGTAATTGGAAAACTCTGAAAAATCATTTTTAACTAACGTGACTCTGTGAGTCACTGTTCACTCGATCGCTATTCTCCAATGTGAATCACTCTTCATGAATATTAAATAGTAACGGTCACCGTTCATAGATTTAAAATAAATTGAAAAAAAAAGGAATAAAATTTTAAATAGTTACAAAAAATGATGTTATATTAAGATTAAAAATATTTATGTGCATAAAATAATTTTTCTAGGTTATAATTATAATTTTAGACAAATAAGTTATTATTTTCAGTTATTGTCTTAGAATAACAAATAACAAGATAAAGATTCATTGGTGATAAGTTGATTTAAAGGTCACCAAAACAATCGTCCAAATTCCAGTCTCCCAACTAGGTTGAAAAAATAATCATGCATAATTTATTTATCAACATTTGAATATATTGTGTTAACCAGTTTATTATGTGAAATATCAATCTCGAATTTTCGTGATAATAGCTATGTATCAAAATACGGATGTAACTTATGATTCCGTGAATACATGTTAATTACGTAAAGCTCATTATAGATATAGCAAGTTATGAGAACGACATTTTTTTTTTTTTTTGATATTATATGACTTTAGACTATAAGATCAATCGAACTTAGAAAATATCTTGATTAAATGATAGTCTCATTAGGAAAATTATACTTCATAAATACTTTCATTCATGCTTATTGTTCGAGTTTTCTTGGTTTGTGTATTTGGAAAAATTGAAAAACTTTCCTAGAAAGTCCTAAAATATTTATTGAGAGATTGGGATTTAAGTGGTCCATTTGTAACCTCCTCTCCTCACATGAAAGTCACTCAATTGAGTGTTAATCAGATCAATAAAACGAAAACAATATTACAAACCCACTACAAACTTAAGAAGATCCCATCTTTAGAAACTTTATTTTTGGAAACTTTCAAGATAATTCAATTTAGAAACCTATATTTCAAGAATCTCTATCTTACGAAATTTCAATTTTTGGAAACTTCTAAATTGGGTGAGCTTCCTTCTTTTTGAAATCCTAAGTATGAATAGCGATAATGATTAAGCATTTTATACCTTTCGTAGATGGCTAAAGGTCCAGCCTAGAAAAGAAGAGAGAGGATTGGGAGACAGAATCAATCAAGGTTCTTGCACCTCCTAAGGTTTTATATAAAGAACCCAAGACATAACTTTATGGAGCATTTCGATGATACTGGGCCATTTCTCAGGGAGCTCGACTGAGTGCACACAGGTTTAGCAAAGATGGAGCATTTTTCCCCTCCTTAGAAACCTTATCGAATATTGGAGAATTGAATAGCTCGATGTAATGTATGATCGACAAATATTTGTCGAAGACCTTATTAATAGCCTTAGAAAAAGAAAAAGAATAAAAAGTGAGGATTCTAAAGTCATTGAGAGGCTCGAGGTATATGTA